ACAACGTACAAAAACTGAAGAAGCTACTTCAACCTACTCATCAGAAAGCGACGAACCGAAGAAGGTTAAGGTAATCTTGCATCACGTTCCGATATTTGCTGATGCAACTTGTTGTGTCGTTTGCGAGCGCCTGGCAAGCTCCCGTTGCACCGGTAGATAACTCCGGTGGAGGTAGAGACGGTGCATGGTTTTGGTGCCAGGTTCTTAAGTACGTTCATCATTGCCTGACGAGAGTAGGTGGTTGAATACGTACGACAAATAATATGAAACCAAGAGAAACTACAAAATACTATGGCAAATAAATGCACACGATTAAATTGATGAATATTGTAAATAAAAATGTATGTCTGCAACAAGACTTCCAATCTGGCCGATGACAATAGCAGAGGGGTGCGATGCCAGTGGAACTGCGGCTCTAGTCGGAGTCGAAATGTCCGATCGACAGGTCGAAGGACCGCGACAGACGAGAACTATGACAAAAGCAGGCGTCAATATCCGTTGCTGAGCATGAAAGTTTGGGAGATGACGAACTTGCCCAACTTCATAGAATGATGAGCTAGGCGAAGATCGTCATGGACACACCAGAGAGTGACTCGGCGATTTTTGAAAAATGGGAAGCGATCTGATGGCAGTCGTCAAGGTCAGGGTAAGGGCTTCGATCGATGCGGCAAGGATCGAGTTGAGGGCATTCTTGCCCTCTACGATGTACGGAGATCCAGGACACTTAACAATGCGATGCAGGGTGAAGTGTAAAGTTTACGATGCTCTACGGTACCTACGTCATCCAGTTCCGGCTGCCAAACAAAGGTTATGAAATGCAATTCTATTTCGCATCTCGGATTATTGAAATTGTAGAGTGGGCACTGGATACGGCCAGAATCGAAGACGTCCAATCGGCCATATGGACAATGTGAGGAAGCTAGGCCACACCTCCCATGACAAATACGCGCGCTGAGAATGTCGCAAGATCTGACATTAAAGGGCATCCATTCTCGACACTCAGAGGATTGTAATGAGAGAAACCATTCATCCAAACGCCCGTTAACTTCAGNCATCTTTCACCCCCTGCCGTGCTTCTTCCAAATATGTTCCCACATTTTCTAAACTTTAGAATTCTTAATGGGGACGTCGTCATTTACAATTGCATCTGGGGTTATTCAATAGATTTCTAGTGGCAAGGAAGCACTAAGAGGAAAAGTTACCCGAGCGCTCAAACCCTTGAAGTTTAGTCACGCTGCCTATAGCATTAGCACTAAGTGAAAAACAGCTTTACCTGGATCGGAAATCGTTTTATTCTTAGCTGTTGTATGAAGTAGTTTTAGACTTGGATTTAGGTTGCAACTTTAGAGAACAATCTGGTAATTAATAGTCAGACTCACAATATTTTTGTATTTTTTTTCGTCGCATTGTATCAGGTTGATCGAAGTAACAAATATTTGTACGATTATTACTGCTGAAACAAACCAACCTGACCATTAAAGAGAGATACTTCAAATCTTACTGCCTAAGTTTCGATAGTTTATAGTTCATTCCTTCTAGAAAGGGTGGGTCTGGAAACTTGATGATGTGCCTGACCTATTAAGATTTGTTTCACTCGAGAATCACAGAAGGTACAGGAAGAAGGGGATGGAGAAAGTCGCGAACCAGCTCCACTCACATCTCGAGCCCTAACCCTTCCCTTCTTTGAACGCAAAATCGACAAAGTACCGAAGGCAGTGGCTTACTTTCTGGGAACATTTTTTGCGGAGTTGTGTGACGGCAGCTTCCCTATCGATCTGATATTTCATGAACCACACTTCATATCCGAGATTTGATTTCCAGATCAACAACGTACAAAAACTGAAGAAGCTACTTCAACCTACTCATCAGAAAGTGACGAACCGAAGAAGGTTAAGGTAATCTTGCATGACGTTCCGATATTTGCTGATGCAACTTGTTGTGTCGTTTGCGACCGCCTGGCAAGCTCCCGTTGCACCGGCAGATAACTCCGGTGGAGGTAGAGACGGTGCATGGTTTTGGTGCCAGGTTCTTAAGCATGTTCATCATTTCCTGACGAGAGTAGGTGGTTGAATACGTACGACAAATAATATGAAACCAAGAGAAACTACAAAATACTATGGCAAATAAATGCACACGATTAAATTGATGAATATTGTAAATAAAAATGTATGTCTGGATCGGGACATACATGACTTCCAATGTGGCTGATGACAATAGTAGAGGTGTGCGATGCCAGTGGAACTGATGCTCTAATCGGAGTCGAATATTCGATCGGCAGGTCGAAGGACCGCGACAGACGAGAACTATGACAAAAGCAGGCACCAATATCCGGTGCTGAGCATGACCATCTGGAAGAAGACGAACTTGCCCAACTTCATAGAATGAAGAGCTAGACGAAGCTCGTCATGGACACACCATAGAATGACTCGACAATTATTGATAAATGGGAAGCGATCTAAGGGCAGACTAGACCAGGGTAAGGGCCTCGAACGATGTGGCAAGGATCGAGTTGAGGGCATTCTTGCCCTCTAGCATGTACGGAGACCCAGGACACTTAACGATGCGATGCAGGGTGAAGTGTAAAGTTTACGATGCTCTACGGTACCTACGTCATCCAGTTCCGGCTGCCAAACAAAGGTTATGAAATGCAATTCTATTTCGCATCTCGGATTACTGAAATTGTAGAGTGGGCACTGGATACGGCCAGAATCGAAGACGTCCAATCGGCCATATGGACAATGTGAGGAAGCTAGGCCACACCTCCCATGACAAATACACGCGCTGAGAATGTCGCAAGATCTGACATTAAAGGGCATCCATTCTCGACACTCAGAGGATTGTAATGAGAGAAACCATTCATCCAAACGCCCGTTAACTTCAGTCATTCCTATTTCGTCACGAACAGGAAAAAAATGCTTGGGACTTCTGACGATGCATGCTAGTTCATTATGATTTTTCCTTGACCAGCGGACCATCTTCAGGTCGGTATTCATTTTTAAGAAGTTTCCGCCCATGTCACACAATGAGCCAGCCCCTGCGGGCGGAGGCAACGAATCCAATTTGGTTTTTAAAAGCATCTGATCAATTAAAGAGATTAAGTGTGGATCTAATTCATGTTGTAGATAATGAATTTTCTCAGTTTGCAACATAATCATACAGTAGATCAGTAGACTTCTGACCTAAAGATGATTGTAGTAGAGGTGCAGCGATGTCATTGGAACTGCGGCTATAGTAGGGGTGGAACGATGCGATCGGCAGGACAAAAGACGACGAATGGCGTCAACGACAGCGACCGATGAAGCATGATTACAATATTCAGGCGTCATACTCCGTGGCTGACCGTGGCATGGTGGGGAAGCCGAACTTGCCTGAATTTATAGGATGTGCAGAACATCATCCACTTAAGAACTCTTCCGTTGAAAAAAGCTGTTGCCATAGAACCGCATTACTAGAGAACTCGAATTAGAAATCATCTGCAAACAAAAAGGACCATTTTGCTCGAAAGCACCGCATACGCTAGTACTATGGTATGAACAGGGATTGGTGAAAACTATGTTCGTTCACTTCTCACATATACGACTCGCCGAAAAGGGGCCTTCGACAAAGAAACGTGGTGTGTGGTGGGGAAGCTAGGGAGTTACCGTAAAAGCAGAGCCCGTACTGCATTTTTTTTTCTATTTCAGCTCAGATATGTGAACAATCCTATGACGGAGTGGCGGACATAGGCTGCATTCATGGCCCGCCAGCCGGGGGCGGCGCTTGCCCCTTGTTTACAAACTGAATCTTGATCGATACCGCAGGCCGAGTAGTCCCCCGGCCGGATTCGCGGGCTGGCCAGCGGACTATGAAAGCAGCACTGTGCAATAATTTGGGGATTCGCACGCAAGCACACGACTATGGTTTCGCAATCGACGCAGCCACACACCACAAATTCGAATCTTGCTTAAACAGCACACTGTTATAATAGAAGATCCCACATCCTCCTACATGATACGGGCAAGATAAAACCGCTGAAGTTGATATTCATCTACGTCTTTTGAACCTCTCAAAGTAACTTGTATGGGGCAGCAATCGAGTAAAATTCTTGATGGCAGAAAGCATAGATTACGGATTTGAAGGACTAAGAACGAGAACAATAAGCTCCATAATGTTGAGCGCAGTTAGAAATTTGCACTTAATTCCAATGATAACGGGTACCGATTTCGTTACTGCCAACAACCCTGGATGAGGGAGGGACTTTGTTGAAAGCACATTAGAGAATGAACGATTCGGCCCAAATTGTGATTTGCACCACACTAATACCAATGAAAGTGTCTCGAAAGCGAAACACACGGAATTCTTAAACGTTTGCAGCTACCAGTAGGAAGTAAAATATCTACTACACATCACAGTTTGTCGTTTTTATGTCTACTACTTTATCAGAAAAAAAGATCCAAGAGTCCATCAAGTAATCGCAAACCTCCAAAGGCTCGAGTTCGCGGGAATGTCAACCCTTTTGTGGAGAGGTGAATCAACTTTTTTTTATAGTTTTTCTAACGTTTGAAGTGTGACTTTGTGAAATACGACTTCGGCAGTAGACGGATATAAAACTCTGTAGTATTATCAAGGGCACAGGTT